GAGCCACAGAGTCAAACTCCTCCCATACAACAGTCTCAAGACCTGCTCCCGTATCCTCCCCCGGGGCCACCCAGTCAGAGTCCAGGCCTTCTCGGATCCGAGCGACTTTGTCATGCAGATATTGCGCAAAGTCCTCGGCCCTCCCCTCCAGGGGATCCCCCCCCTCCCTCAATTGAAGGAGAGAGCGGGTCACCCTGAATACGTGCATTTTTTAAAACTATCTCAAGGCACACCAATTATAGCAGTGATTTCGTACATATTATTGTAGGTACTTAACAATGTCTGTAGCATATTGTTGAGATTAATCATTTTGATTAATTAGGCTCACCTAGAAATATTTTTTCACAATTTTTTATTTTTATTCAGAACATTACAGTATAAACTCCCCCCCAAAATACAGAAAACAAAACAGACATATACATAAATTGTTCCCCCTAGTTGAATACTGATAAATATACCTCAAAGATATATCCCTCCCGCTTTGTGAAGGAGATACAATTTATAAATTTCTAGAACAATATTTACCCAGTCCAGTTAGCCTGACCTGTGCCTAGTATATGAAAACATAGTTAACAGGTAAAACCAACAACTAAATTAAACTTCAAAACCCTTTGTTAAAATCTATTTATTGTATTTCACACAAAGGAAGTCCACAATGGCTTCTAATCTACCATAAGTTACCACAGTCATTGTTTCTGATCCATCCAGGATCAAATACCCTCGATTGATTCTTAATAGTGAATCTTTTCCTTAAAATAGTAATCTTTCCTAATAATTGGATTTTATTCCCCAAAGGCACAAATTCCTATTGTATATATATCTCCACAGCATTTGTTATACAAAAAAAATCTCCTGTAAATTATAACATGACATCTCTTAACATTTGTTTTCCAATAGGGTATGATAAATCCATTCAGAATCAAAATAGAGCTGGAAGGTCTTGGAGGTCTTCTAATCCAGCCCTCTTCTCAAGCAGGAGATACTATATCATTTCAGACAAGTGACTGTCCAGTCTCTTCTTAAAAACCTCCAGTGATGAAGCACCCACAACATCTGAAGGAAAGTTGTTTCACTGGTTAATGGGATGCTGTGTTTTCAACCACCCCATTTGCTCACAGATGATCTTCCAGTTTCCCCAAGGTCTCCGTTCAAATACAAAGTGTTTCAGCACCTATGGAGCTATTCAAAATACAGTGAATCCCTGCGTTTTAAATAGCCCCATAGGCGCTGAAACACTTTCTATCTGAATTGAGACCTTGGAGAAACTGGAAGGTCTGTGAGCAAATGGGGCAGTTGAAAATGCAGCATTCCGCTCTGTTTCTAAGCGTGCATTGGCAGGCAGATGGACCTTCCAGTTTCCCCAAGGTCTCTGTTCGGATAAAAAGTGTTTGAGCGGCAGCGGCTTGGGTTTCTCAGCTCCATCTGAGTGGAAGAAAGCAGAGGTGCAGCAGTGGGATTGCTCTCATTAAGGCTGGCGCACGTGAACGAGCAGCGCACACAAGTCTTATTGTTTGAGAGCAATCCTGCTGCTCCACCGTTGCTTTCTTCCACCCAGATGGAGCCCTTGAGTGGGAGAACGAGGAGGAGGAGAAGAGTGGTGAGGATTTGTGCCAGCCGGCTGGTCAGGCAAGGAGTAGGTCGGGTGGGGTGGCTGGCTGGCTGACTGGGTGGGGAGGGGAGATCATGGCCGCTCTGGTGGCTGCCACTACCACCGGCAGCTTGGACACAGGTGCAAAGGGCCTGGCCCCATGATGCCTCTTTGCTCAATTGAAGGCTTCATTCCTGCCCTCAAACTAAGGCCGGCGCATGCCAGCGAGCAGCACACCCGGGCCACGGACAGCATTGGTTCCTGTGCCTGGCCGACTCCAACTGCACACTTTGCCCCATAGGCATGCAAACAAAGCAAACACTCCCCCCACCGAGAATGGAAGCTTCCAGGGATCATGATCTCTTTTGCAGAGAATGTGTGTTTGAACTCTCGTAATATTATGGCATCCAGGAGCTTCCATTGTCGGCGCGAAAAGCATTTCCAAGCCAACTCTCCTCTCTCTCTCAAAGGGAAAGAAACTGCAGCAGAGAGGAGACAGATTTTGCA